GACAAAAGTCACACGCTCCAACCACTGGACTAGCTTCTGGGTTACAAATAATATTGTTTATAATTATGCTTTGCGATGTCTTAACAGTGATTACCAACAAAGTATTTATCGGTTTTTGTTTTATTCCTGCATAATGTAATCAGAAACTGTCCAAATGTGCCTCTAGTAAATCCTGAAGAAACTACTTAATTATTACTAACCACTTATGACGACTATCTTAACATGAAAAATTCAAATTACTTTTGTCCCATATTTATTGAAACCATCTCAGAGTTAATTAAAATATTTTTAAAGCAACTTAGAGCTACTTAGAATCTTAGTTGATTTACTCAGAACTCAATTAGGGTCACTTTGAGCCTATTGAGTTATGATGATTTCCACATAAGGTTGTAATATTAAGAAATACTATACTTAAAGTGTTTTCAAAAATGATTAACAGAATTTCATCCTGAGAGCAGGTGAACCTGATCGCCCAAGGTCCTACCCGCCCAGTCGCCCACCGACCTACGGTTTTTGTGTTTTTGTCCAGACAACTTTGGAGTCGCCCGCACCGGATTTATCGGCTACTTAAAATTTATAGATCCTCAAGTTTTGTTGAATTCCTTTTTGGGAAATATATAATTAGTTAAATGCAATCTGCTAAGGGTGGAGCCGACCAGAACTCTCCGAGTGTATAAATTATCGGCGTAGAGTGTAGAGCACATTCTTGGCAAGGTCATCTGCTTAGCTGTCATCCACCTGTTCTGTGCTCACGCTGCTCCTTGATGCTAACTGTTGGATACTGACTTAAACTGTTGCGTTTAGACATAATGATATAGGTTTATAATTACCCAATCATGTTTCCCTGTTCGATTCTGTTTAATAAAGTACTAGGATTTAACTTGTTCGGGCTAATTAATTTTAGCTCTCGTTTTGAGAATCGTAGATGGTTTGAAAATCTGGCTTATCGGGCAAACAATTCTGTGGAATCGTCAGGGCTGTCTTTTAAGAGATCGCAATTCAAAAGGAAGGAATTGAATCGGAAGTAAGAGCTAACATTGAAATAAAAGTGTTGAAAATATATTTATTAATTAGCAAGCATGTTTCTTAAAAACCCATTTCTCAGCTCGTGTGCATCGCAGGGTAAATCTACATATAACGTTAGAAAGATATTTCTTGAAGATGTGCAGGATCCCTTTATAAATTGAAATAGTCTCAAAATAAGCACAGAAAATGTATTTAAATTTAAAAAAATAACATGGGACTTATGGGTTGCCATGATCGTGACATAATAACATAAAAATATAAACAGAAGGAGGAGATAGTGTTGTACCTATGACCAGTTTTCACTTAAAAAGTTTTTTGTAGACACAGGAAAGTTCCAATTATATAAAAAATAATCAACGATGATATTAGCGAATTTCCCTATAGGGAAGTAGCTATTACCGTAGGTCTCATGGTAAGACCTAAGCCCGGGACCGATTTACTTTTTCATTTTGATGTCCCCAGAGGCCAAAAACACCATTCGTTCAAATTTTTATATATCTATATATAGATATATATATATATATATATATATATATATATATATGTGTCCATCCGCACGATAACTTGAGTAATTTTTGTCCGATTTTGATAAAATTTGGTTTGAAGCTGTAAGGCGGGATAAACTTGAATGAGTTCGCGAACCAGCATGATCGGACTATGGGAACGGGGGTTTATGGGGGGTTTTATGGGGTAAAAATAGGTTTTTCCCATTTTTTACCCTAAAAACACAAAATTTCACAATTTCTTTTTAAACCATTTTGTAGAGCTTAAAAAAACAAATAATTTAGTATGTTGAAGCGTTATTATGCGCCTAATTGTTACGGAGAAAATTCTAAAAAATTGTAATTTTAAAATTCCCATGTTATTCTTATGGAGAATAAGTCAACTGTTGTAGTTTGCTTGTTTATGAACATATTTTGATCGATTTTGGAAAATACTTTTATTTCTTACTAAACTATTATCATTTTATAAAAAAAAAACTTTTTTACCCTCCCTGTTGCAGCAAACCTAAGTACTCGTTAAACTAATTCTATCTAAATAGGAAATAAATGTGCTATTTTTATGGAGGCATTTTAGTGTAAATCCAATCAGGTTAATGGAAATTCGCTTAGTCTGCAGGTTTGCTGCGGCGGGGGTATTTTACTGTTTCATTTATAGAATAAATATTTTTTCAGTTCTTTTTCAAGTTTTAACCTATTTTTTGTATTAAAGAAAATGTGCTACATATTGGTCAAAGGCTCAACAGGCAGTTGTACCTTTGACTAGTGGGTGTTGTACCTTTGACCACCATATCGATTTAAGCCCAAAACAGGTAAAAAAAACAAATATATATCTTACATGATAGTTTTTTTAAATATAAAACAATATACACAAAGTAGAACTTATTATTAGTTTTATAAACATAAAAAAAATATTATTCTACTTTGTAGGATGAAAAGTCCACTCCAAAATTGAAATATTCTCTTTGACGTGCTGATTCACTTGATTTGGAAGTGTTGGGGAGCTTGCCGACAACCTCCTGTCGGTCCTACAAAACAATGGCTTATTAATACATTAGCATATTTCAATAACAACCAGTAATAACTACACTGTATACAGATGATGTTGTACCTATGACCTCTGGTCAAAGGAACGCCACCATTAAATGGTCCAAGGTACAACCCTAGTACTTCCCACCATATTATATGTTTTATGATGGGTACTGATAATAAAAGTTTCAAACATCCAAGAGAAGTTAAAGGTTAAACATCAAATAATAACCCATCACTTTAACTTTTCTTTGAAGAAGCATATACATTTTATAAAACAGACAATAAGTTAATAAATACTACAGTTTTAGAATTTACTGCTAGGCACAGTATAAAATAGGTATGTTGTTAAAATATGTACGTGAAGCTAAGTTTCAAAATATCTTGTTGTGTACACGAGCCGTATAATCTATGATTTCTACAAATACAACTACTTTACTTTTAGCGAATTTCCCATATAGGGAATAAGCTATTACCGTAGTACTCATGGTAAGACCTGGACGTGGGACCGATTTTTTTTTTCATTTTGAGGTCCCTAGAGGCCAAAAACACCATCCGTTCAAATTCATATATATATATATATATATATATGTGTGTGTGTGTGTGTGTGTCCGTTAGCACGATAACTCGAGCAAAAATGATCCGATTTTGATGAAATTTGGTACAAACGTGTAAACCTACGTTTATTCGAACGAGTTCGCGATCGGACCATGGGAACAAGGGTTTACGGGGGGTTTTATGGGGTAAAAATAGGTTTTTCCCATTTTTGACCCAAAAAACATAAAATTTAGCAATTTCTTTCCAAACCATTTTGTAGAGCTTAAAAAAACAAATAATTTAGTATATTGAAGCGTTATTATGCGCCTAATGGTTACGGAGAAAATTCCAAAAAATTGTAAATTTAAAATTCCCATGTTATTCTTATGGAGAATAAGTAAATTGTTGTAGTTTGCTTGTTTATGAACATATTTTGATAAAATTTGGAAAATGTTTTATTTCTTACTAACTATTAACGTTTTACAAAAAAAAAAAAACAGTTTTACCCTCCCTGATGCAGCAAACCTAAGTACTAGTTAAACTAATTCTATTTAAATAGAGAATAAATGTTATTTTTAAGTAGACATTTCAGTGTAAATCCAATCAGTCAAATGGAAATTCGCTTAGTCTGCAGGTTTGCTGCGGCGGGGGTATTTTATATTACTACTTTCTTTTACTATGTTTGTTAGGGTAAAATCCAACTAAGAGGGGTTTTTACCAATAATGAGGAAACATGCATTTATCAGTTCAAACAAACATAATTAAAATATTTGTCGTGAAATCATACTAATATTATAAATGTGAAAGTGTGTGTGTTTTTTATCTTGAAGTTCAATCGCGCATTAACTACTGTTTGGATCGGGATGAAATTTAATATGATGATAGCTCACATTCCCGTACAGACACATTATTACCTCTAAAATCCCTTCGGGCTCAGTCTAAGCGGCTCTGTAGTTTCCCATGTTAACCATACGGGTGTTCATATTTAAAAGGAATTAAAGAATTTGACAGCGGTTTCAACTACACAAGTTGGTTCTATGATGAATAGCGTTAAAAAGTTATAAAGTTTTATAATAGGGTGCAGCAGTATTTTTTTTTTTTTTGCATTTCTGACAACAGCTAATTTGATTATTTGATTTTTATAAGCAGCATCAAAAAGCTGTGATACACAACGAGAACTTTACTTTTTTCTATTGTTTAGTTGCAGTGGTAGAACATTATGGCTATGGTAGATGTGCTATACTATAGTATACTGTATATTAAAATAACAAACATTTTTAAACCGTGTCCTCTTGCATTGAAAACGCAAAGAACGAGTATAACTGCAATACACATTTTATACTGATATGCGAACCCCCTACGAAGGACGGGTACTCTGCTAGTAAAGACAATTTCAGGTCACTCGTTTCATTATGTAAATAAAACTTAACTATATTGCAAAAATTGGTGCAGTATATATTTTTTTTTGTCGAACACGAAACGTACATAAACATGTACAAGGACATGTACATGAATAAATAATATGTATTTGTTCTTTTTGTGCGTTGGAAAGTAAGATATCAATTCAGAAAGTATGTAAAATCAAGTAGTATGAAACGTGGTAAAAACGTCTTATCGTTACGGCGTTATTACGTTGACCGGGTTAGCGTTCATCGAGTGTCCGGGGAACAACAAACAGTTTTTTAACGAGCAGCCGGAACCAACAGTTTTCTTGCGGGTTAAATATGAATACACTCGCCCTGATCGCCGTCAAGCTTCATTGGTGATTCTCCGTGAAAGAAACGAAGCATTCGACAGCAAATTTCGCTTTTCTTTTCTGATAAAAGCAAGGAAAATCGGTGAATACTTAATATAAAAGTGGCAGTGTAGAGTGTGTAAGTGCAGTTCTGTCGTGGCAGTGAAGTGAAGATGTGGTGGCTTGTGTTAGTGATGTTCTTCGGTAGATCCAGCAGTAAGGCTGTCTCTGCAAACTCTACTGTAGATGGCAAGTATCTCCCAAGTACCCAATGGCTCATCTCCTGCAGTGATGACCCATCCGTCAAGTCCTGTCTCAAGATGAAGTCACTGATGCTTCTAGAAGACCTCGCGCAGAAGGATACTCCGATATACATATTTGGGAAATCCATGACACTTGTGAAGAACCCGGACGTTCGAATGGGAGGACGAATGTTGCCAGTTAGTTTGGAAGAGCTCAACTCCAGTCTGCCTAAAGACGAGGACTCCAGGGAAGAGACTTTGGACAATCTGATGTTCTTGTCTTTGGAGAAATTCGTCAAAAGTCGAGCCTTACAAATCCATCTTCCAGATCTATTCTTTTGGAATTCTTGGAATAGTTTAGCAGAAGGTAAATTAGTTTTTACAAATAATTGATCTCTATATTCTGGTGATAGCACGATTTTTAAGTCGACATTTTCATTAAATGTAATGAGTTATATTTGAAACCGTATGGTGTAGATTGATTTGTATAGTTAAGGGGTGTTTTATGTTTCACAATCAACCTTTACGATTTTACAGACCATAACTAATGCGACCTATACAAATTTATAAACGAATCTTCCTTGATTAATAGGAGTATTTTTTATATTATCCTTGTTATTATTACTGGTAGAGCTTTATTATGACTTTCGTTCTATATAAATGTTTTTAACTTATGTGTCATTTACTTTGGTCTCAGGTAAAACAACCAAACAGTGTTTGATGTTCAAATTAATTCACTAAGTTACAATGATAATAATTCCTTAATATAGCAAATAATTGTTAACTGTTTATTTTTATTTTATGGCTTTATTTAATACTAGTGGTCGCCCAGTGGTCGAAAACTCGACCAAAAATATGTAAAGTACAGACTTCTCTATTTTTAACCTACGCTGTAAATTAAACATGCGATTGTAATTTCTTCCATTTGATTTGATTTTATGTTTATATTTTGTTGTTATTTCATCAGCATTGCAATCCATAAGGTCCATGTGAATTAATTTTTCAAATTAATTGATTTTTTTGTTATTGTTGAGCCTATTTTAATTTATAAAGGGATTCTGCACATCAACAGAAAAATATCATTCTAATAGTATGCGTAGATTTTCTCAGCGATGCACACGAGCTGAGAAAAAAGGTTTTAAAGAAACATGCTTGCCTATTAAGATATAGATTCCCCCTTAGGAGGAAGTGACATGGGAGGAAGTGACAATACGTCAAACCTATACTCAGAAGGTTTGCAAGCCTACACCAGATGTTAACAAGAGTGATATCTCAAGGTCGTTCGGATGTCTTACATCGGCATTTCGAGGTCAGATTGACCGGACTTTGCACCTAATCGCTGGACCTCCTCGAGATTATAATAGTGTTGTTTATAACACCAACTGAAAATTAATAAATGTTTGAGGATTACCTAACTGGTCTTCAATGAAATTGTGACGTCATGGATATCAAGGTAGATTTGACAATAACAGTCAAAAAAACTTACACGTATGTAAATGATAGAGTAAAAGAGATTTTTATCTCCACACTGACGAAGTAGTAGGGGGATAGGATAACTAATCCTCAGGTGATTTTGAACTTCAAACCTCCAGGTAGAATACGACAATACTTCTTTCATAACTGCTAAGGATTGCAACCCCATGTCACTCTAACAGCATCCGGCAATTCATTCAATAATCTCTAGGTACTTCAGGAAACTTACTTTAGGGAAACAGGAAACTAAAATTTCTACCTTAAGAAATCATACCATCTAAATATATTATACAGTGGCATATTCTTTGTCGAGATATATCTGGTGTATTTATATGCTTTTAGCACTTGAACATTTTTGTAAAAGGGGCGTCCTCAAACAAATACGCAATAACTCTATAGACGTGTTGAAAACATTTGTTTCAGAGATATGGACGGAATATTTCTTCTCAATGTAAAATATTATTGTAAAACTCGGACCTTTACTAAAATTGCATTAAAACTTCTCGTTTCACCTTGGTAAAAAAATATTGTCATGGTACGAGTTTATGACCTGAGACATTACAATACACAGAATACTTTGCAGTCAATTAACTAATTCTGTTTTGTCGTTGGTTGCTGTTATCGTTAACATTTATGTTGTAGTTTTACTCTTGCATTTATGGTGATGTATACTACATATTAATACATTATTATTTATATAATTAAACTATAATTCGAGAGGCTGTTCTGCAAACAATCAACAATTAGGATTCGCAAGATAAAGGTTAGATTTAATGTAATTCCGATTGGATTATCTCCAATAGTTTTTAATAGATCCTTGGTTCCATCCACTTGGGTGTTCAAAATTAGTGTTCTCTCGTTCTCCAACAGATTGCGACACCTATCCCACGAAACAACAACTCGTATATTCAGTAACATGTTTAATACACACCATATCATGTTACATAAAATAATAATGTGGGTGTTATACACTTATACAGTACTTCCAACTTCATGGACGTTAACTAACAATATTTATAACTTAACTCTCAAGATTTTAGCAACAGCATTTCAAAGAAACTCTAAAAACCAAATGGCGATCCGGACACCTACAAAGCTGATAATTAAACCTTTGATTTTTTTACTTAGCATTAAACTTTTGATTCGTCAGAATGTTTTTGAATTATTTCTATAACAAATAATATGGTCTAAGAATATGTTCAAAACACTGAATGTCGCAGTAACATCAACACACTTTTCATTATTTATAGTGGACGATTTGAAGAAGTGGGGTTATGTACTGTTAGATCGCAAGTGCCACGGAGGTTTTCGGACACTGACCAAAATGACTCATTCCTACAAGGGTCTTTGTATACTTGCTAATGGAGTCCTACTCCACTTGTTCACACACTGCCCAGTGTTTGCCATTTCACCCATTAGCTCTCACTTTCTCCAACCATTTCCTCAACGCCATTCATTGAGTTTATCGGCTGGTAAAGGAAATGAAATCTTAATTTTTGAAACAGTTTTAGAAAAAATACATGAATTCAATAGGGATAGAACCAGCTTGTTTTGGCACAGTGCAATATCTTTCAAATAAAATATAAAACAATGTCAACTCATTTTTTATTAATACTGTACTCATTATTCTAAACCGAGCAATTGCTGGTACATAAGTTATTTCACCTAAAACTGTGTGAATTCGAGATAAAGAACTCTCAAAATAATTTCAAAATATTTTATTGGATTTTACATATTAAATATTTAGTATCTTCTGGAATTACTTACTCTGTTAATAAGAGAATAATAGAACCGACCTTGAGCTTTATTAGTGTCATAGCTAAAGCTAAAAATAAAAAAATAGTTCTACGAATATAGCATAGCAGTTTATTTATCAGAGTACCTTATTTAGGCGTAAACCAATTTAGAGGAAGTCCATTTAGACAGCAGATAATATTAAATAGAGGAACAAACTATTTAATATTCTGTTGGGTATTGGTTCTTTTCCTGCTCATTGTCTGTTATTACATCAAAATTTAAATATACTTTCTCAAGTCCTGAATCAGATATTACACTGTTGTTAAAGTTTAAACAATCTTTGTTCTAAACTGTTAAAAAGATTCAATCAACATTCAGACCATGAATTATTTCGTTTAAATTGCCACATACATAATCAATCTATCTATATATATAATACGCTAAGCCGATTTTTGTAAACAGAACTCCTCCCTCATTTATGGACCGATTTTGATTATTAAAGTGTCAAAAGAATGGCCCTGATCTGTAGTTTTGCAAAGTGTTTTTAGTTTTTTGAAATCTGTATTAGTTTGGGCAGGATCTTCCATCAAAGTTAGATTTTCTCCCATAAGATTAACATGGGGGAATCTAAATATTTGATTGGAAACTTTGTCTACAGTAATTTGAGAGAACGGCTGGACGTAGAAACTTGGTAGAGGTCTCCAAAGAAAGGCCTTGGTCTGTAGGTGATTTATCAAAAGAAACACGAAGTAAAGTCCCTCAGGGCTCTGCCCTAGAAGCCTTTAAAGATCCCTCGACACATTTGTTTACATTTTGGCCATGTGGATAATACTTTTTAATGAAACAGCTGTTAATTTTTAAAATGTGCTTTAAACAACACATATTATTGGGAGTTTCTGAGTTCTCCAAAAGATGTATTTGCAATGTTATTTTCTGATATAACGTTATATTACGAAATCAGGGGAAATCCCTTTTATCACAGAACTCTTACAATAATTTCTTATTTAACTATCTAATATCTGTTGTACGGGTTGTTGCCTGCCTTTTTTCACCACTTTTGCCTACATTTTATCATATTATTCTACTGATAGGTTCATGTCTTCAATCATTGGAAAAATCTTCGATTGTGTAATACAATACAAAATAATACAAGTTCAGAAGGGCACGTTGCCCATTTGAGCCGTGTCTATATTTTGTTAAATTAATAGTCGTTTACAGCAACCGGATAAAACATTTTACAATATTTATTTAGAAATATGTGCATGATTTAGAAAGTCATTAAGCTGTATAACTGAAATTTACTATAGACATTTCAGAGAGGTTACTTCGATGTATTCATTCAGCATAGTGAACACATAATATAGATATGTATGCAAATAAGAATTTGAACTCTTAGAAAGCCATTGAATGTTATTAGAATAACAAAATGGGTTGTGCATGTTTACAAGCGCTACTCAGCAACAAAAACCGTTTAATTTATCTCTAAAAAATATATTCTTCAAGTGAACTGGAAAAAATACTAAAAGCAGCTTAACAAATACTATGTAACTTACCCATATGCTTACTTATGTAACTTATGTAACTTACAAAATGCTCAAACTCGCATTGTAGCATTTATAATTCGGCTTATATTTCTCCAGCAGATTATTTATTTGCAGAAGAAGTTTATTGTGCTCTTATCGTATCTAATAACATCCAAAGACAGAAACCTTGCCTAAAATGGTAGGCCTACCTATCTTGACAAATTGTTTGCGGTGGCCTATATTACGGACCGTGGTCCACTGGGTTGTTAACATGATTGAAAATAACACGAGAGTTTGGCTGTAAAAAAGGCACAAAGAGTAAATACTATTTAACCAGCTACTGTCATGACAGAAAGGTCATATTCCTTTCATACTAGATCACTCCATCTTTTATAAGATACGTTGTTTAGCAATGCATGTAAACGTCAATATTTACGTAACAGCCAATTTACAGTATTTTTTGCTTTTTGGAAATGCCGCAATGCTATGTCATTTGCATTATTTGTTGCCAACGAAGGCGCACAACCATATAAACGAGGAGGTCCTTAACAGTCCAAGAATAAAAGCCAACTTCACTTCAAGTATATTCCACTACACCTAACTTTCTGTAGATAAAATTAGAGCAAGCCATGAAAGTAACCGTCGATTTCGACGGGTTTCACCTAGTATTAGATATTTTACCTGCTATTTCAGTTTAAGAATGATTAACTCTCAAAATACCTTCATTATTACAATTATTAGCTATTCTGTCCACAAATAAGCCCTTCGAAAATTAATAACAGATCAGAAAATAGTTCTTATAAAAAACGCAGCTAAGCTGATAATTACTATACATACACATTAATGTATAAAAAAATACATACAGTATATAAATAAGAGAAGACAGCGTTCGCATTCTTAATAATACACTAATCATTCTTGCCTTACGAAATCATATTAGGAACCAACACCGTAGGCCTACAATAATTTGGTAAACACCCATCACAACAGTTTTTTATTGGTTCGACTGATGATCAATAATTGCTAAGGGTTTCAATGACCAAGCAGTTACCTAATGCACATATTTTGCAAAAATTCAATCTTTTCACTAGTAAAATAATTATTAATAATAACATTAAATTATTTATAAGATAATTGTTGGACAGCCCTAAAAAGTTAATAAATACCTTGTGCTAAATTTAAATTACGCCTATTGTCACTCAATTTCATCTAAGCCTCTTTCAAGGCCATAATGCAATTCAAAATTAATAACACTATTGGCATGCATAAAAGCTAGTACACCTGGCTAAAAGGCTGGGCGCTCTGCCAAAGCTTGCGTAACTCAAACTCCTACAGAATCCCGCAAATTCTTCGAATCAAGGTTAAGGAGTGTTGATTCAAACCGTTGTAACTGGTTCGACATGTTTCCGGTGGGTACAGATGCTACGGTAAATATGATGTGTACATAGCACTCGAAGATGTGCAAAATTAGTTCAGCCTGTGAATCGTTTACTGTCACATTATTAAGACACGATCGCACACCGAATTCCTCGAGATCAAAACATGTATTAAGATGCCTAGAGCTTGTTTGCAGCTTCAAATTACTTAAAAAATCTATATATAAAAACAAAAGTACCCATGAACTTGTGAGAAGACTACAAGTCACACCCCCATAAACCATATACTTAAAATGTTCGTCATGACGAGAAACCTTGCGCAAAATTATCCATTATTTCATAAATTGCCCTATAAGGTCGTAATTGCTTTCCAAAGGGAACTTTCCATTTACCTAATGTTAAAAATACATCAGCTGTTATTATTTGTTTGTATTACCATTAATGTATTCTGTTTTGTTTATTTCATTTTAACTTAACCAATCAATAGTTTTATTAATACTAATGTAGTAAAACGGGGTGGAGCCCGTGGGTAACAGCTAGTTTGTCTTAACGCCTATTCTATCTTTGTGTTAATATTGAAAGCATTAATATTAATACTTATTAAACTTTTAGCTGACTTGTCAGGGCTGCCGTTTAAGAGCATTATGATCCATGACAGCTTGATCCATTTCCAAACTGTCTAAAAGTGCGTAGTTGTTAATGAATAAGAAAAAATCCAGAAATTACATATGGGTGTATGTATACTACTTATATGTACTTGTGTATACGTGGTTTTTCAAACCTAATCTCTGTATGATTACTGAACTAGCACTGCTTCCACTTACCTACGCAATACCTTTAGCGAATTATTATTTCTAGGTCTATAATTTACGATGATTTAAAGGATTCCTCACTACACCTTGTGGCAGTAAAACTGATATTCCGTACTGGAACGTTCTGCCACGTCCATCTGTTGATCGTGTGTTATAGTGCATACTCGTGTATTATTAAATGATCGAATGAACTGAAATCATTTGTTCTTTTACGATGAAGGTAGGAGGAAGGGCAGCGGTTTCAGCGGCGCAGGCTGGGGACTGGCCCTTGCTGGGGGTATGATGGCGGCACTGGGACTGGGCTCCATCGCAATGATGTCCGGCAAAGCTATGATGGTCAGTATGATGGCACTCATGTTGTCTGCGATGGCTGCATTCAGGAAGGGTGGTGGAGGAGGTGACCAGGCCGCCACCACATACGAGGTCATCAACGTGCCGACTGGTCATGGCCATCACGCTCGCAGGTATTCTTTCATGATACTTAACTTTATTCATTAATTTTACCACATTCATTCACCATTTAAAAACATGATCATGACATTGGATACTGAATTGGGCCTTCCGCATATTTTGGACCACCTGTAGTATTTTTTATTAATAATTTATAAATAAAAAACTTTTTTTAAACAAAACTTTTTAAACGCACTAAAAAGTAGAAAATAATTTATAAATATGTGGAGAGTATAAATACTTGTAAGATTTAAAACGAAAAACGTGGGGTGCATGCAATGGATAATTTACAATTACCTTCACCTATTGAACTAATTAATGTATTATTATCAATTGCATGCACTCAAAGTTTTTCGTTTTAAATCTTACAAGTATTTATACTCTCCACATATTTATAAATTATTTTCTACTTTTTAGTGCGTTTAAAAACGTTTTAAAAAAGTTTTTTATTTATAAATTATTTTCTACTTTTTAGTTTTTAATGTGTGTGGATGTTAAATCTATTTCACGCATCTATATCAGATTAAGACGGAGGCATGTGGGAAATCTAAGGTTTATTTGAGTTTCTTTTCATATAATTATGTATTAGATTGAATGCATGGCCTACCTACTAACTATAAATATATCAATCTATTTAATTTATTGTTTACTTTATAGAATACTAAATAAATAACAAATGACATTATTAACAACCACCTTTATATCTGCAATCAGATTGTTTATCTTTATTTTGAAATGTTTGTTTGTATAAAGAATCTCTTGGGATCATAACCTGTACCTCTTAACATCTCCTCTTCGAACTGTCAAATTTAAGTATTTACAGCTGACTTAAATTAATTGATATATTTACATTCTTTCAAAATGTAAACATGGAAGCCCATGGGGTGTAGCCCAAGGGAAATATGAAAATTAAATTATACAATATTGCATTGCCATCCATTTGTGAGCTATGTTACAAATTTCAAGTCTCTTGCTCATCGGGAACTTCGTTTAAAATTGATATCAAAATTTGTAGGAAAGCGACTAGCGAGCTAATAAAATAAGCCCATGGGGCATAGCCCAAGGGAAATATGAAAATTAAATTACATAATATTGCATTTTCATCCATTTGTGAGCTATGTTTCAAGTTTCAAGTCTCTAGCTCATCGGGAACTTAGTGTTAAAATGATTTCAAAATTTGTACCGGACAAGAAAGCGAGCTAATAAAAACGTTTTAAAAGGAACATAGTTGTACTGTATAGGTGTGTGCTCATTCGGTGGGTAAAAGTCTAAAATTGTATTTCATCCCTTAAATCTTGTGACTTAAGCAGAAAGGTCGATTGATCAAATATGATGCTTTAGCTTACAATAAAGCTATTATTTCAATTTCCTTTCGTTAATATGTTTGCGTGTCATATACCATGTGTCAGCGAACCTCGTCACGGGCTCAATTCAACTACTGTAATATCATTTTTATTTAAAAATTCTTTAGAACCTAAAAATGGGAATGTGTAGTTTTATCCGTGATGTAGGCTAACAATACATAATTGCTTTTGGTATTTTTAATATACAGGGTGTTTGATTAAAAATGCTTACTATTAAAAATAGTCTTCTGAAGAAACTTTCATATATTCTTGGGAGTCAAACTTCGTAACAATACTTCTTATTGAAAATGAGCAACTAATAGATCTCAACGTGTAGTCTTCTTCAAGAGAGCATACCACCCTAACGTAGTATTTATTACTGTAATAATTACATGGAAAATATCAAGAAAACTTCCTATGTAGAGAATAAGCTATAACTGTAGGTATAATGGGAGGACCTGAACTCAGGACCCATTTACTTGTTCGTTTAGAGGTAAGCCGAGGCCAAAAACTCCATTCGTTCAAATACAAATATATTTGAAAGCTTTTTTTTATATGATAACTTGAGCAAAAATGATCCGATTTGATGAAATTTGGTACAAACAAAAATACATGTAAATCCACATTCATTCCAAGGAGTTCACGAATTAGCATGTAGACTATGGGAACGCTGCTTTTTGGCCCCAGTTTATGGGGTAAAAATAAGGGTTTCCTTTTTTGGCCCTAAAAACATAAAATTTTGCAAATTTCTTTCTAAACCGTTTTGTAGAGTAGTAGTAAATCTATGTACTCGTTTAAGTAATGTTATTTAAATATGTAATGAATATGAGATTTTAATTAGATTATTTCATTCTAATTAGGCAAAGTGAAATTTGCTTAGTGTGCAGGTTTGCTGAGGTTGGGGGTATTTATTTTGCAGCGGAATAGATAATTAGATGCCCCATATGTTTTGCATAAGACTTACTATATATCAGTGAGAAACAGTATTTTTTACATTGGACCTTTAACAAGGATGTTTACCGTCAGCATGGGCCGCCCACGGAGTCTGGAGGTGGGGGTGCCGTTGCCAGGGGCGGCGGACCTAGTGGAGGTTTACCGCGGATGGAACACCTCGACAGCAACGCCAGGCCCTCAGGTGATGGCACCTGACATTGACAAAGAACACCTGAAGACGGAGTAACTCAGAACACTCTGCGAGGCAGGCCTAATGCTTATTGATCTAAGGTTGCTCCTATTACAGATATTTATTTTACAAAGTATTATAATTTATTTATTTATGATTATACAGTATTATTATTTGTGTTCTTTATTCTGCAATACCTTAGATGACTAGAAATTTCATCGTTTTATTAGTTCCTAAGAAATAAGTTGAATAATTATTGTAGATAGTTATAAGTAGGTCTACAGTAAGTTTGTGATATTTATTTAAATTATGTGATACTCTGTAAAAGATCTGTATTCAGAATGCTCACTTCGCTGCTTTAAAAAAATAAGTTCATTATGAACAATTATTCCAGCAAATTAAAAAAAAAACAGAAAACAGTGAAGTTTCAAGTCAGATTGGCAATACACTGATCATTGAGCACTTTCATTCAATCATCATTCAAAAATATATCTAAAAATACTTGGACAATTTTGGAAAAAGTAATCTTTATATAATGTGCTCACGATTCTTTTAACAATCTCAAATCTTAATGTTACGATTACAGCCCGTATGATGTAACTACAGTATTTATTTTCAAAGATCGTACGTAAATTTTAGTTCCTGACTATAAGTAACTTGGTCTTTATTCGATATATTAGTTGTTGAGATATTTCGTATTCTTTAGTTTTTAAAATAAGTTTTCTCAAAAAATATTACAATACCTGTACAGATTATACAGAACAACATTATCATTATTATGATTATTTTAATAATGTAAACCATTAGCTGTTTAGCTGCAATTAAAGCATGTACTGATAAAGTTGTTATAATTTTCTTGTAGTATAACCGGATGGCGTTTTTAATTACCACCAGAGGTAGTTTAAGTTGTAACAAATCAGCTTTAGCTCAATAATAATTGTTTTAAGTGATTTGTCTTTTAAATAAAGTCGTAAATAAAACAATTAACCTTATCGTGTGTGACTCGTTTGAAGGACCTCATCAAGATACCGCAGTATCTCACTAAGAATATGGTTCTCTCAGAGAGTGTAGACCTCGTTAGTCAAGCAATTGGTCATTACTTGACAAAATCCATTCATGCGAATCATGTTGACAAAATCACGATAGAATAACAAATGTTCATAACGTTTCAAAGAGTCATGGTCATAACAGCCATAGTATGAGCTTCCAGACTACAAATACATGACGAGTCGACTGTCGTTCCTTCTTCAATTTCCTATAGTTACATCTGACCAACGATCACATAAGACCAATAGATGGAGCATGTTGGCCGCGACGTGAAGCCAGTATTTTTCACTAATCTTAACTAAGATGGCGGGTGCCGGCTGTGATGAGCCCTAGTACCGCGCGCAACTAATTAAATGTTAGTCGATAGCAATGGTATCCATGACAATACGCCTTTTTATTATAAACGAGAGGTCGTCCAGTGGTCGAAACTCGACCAAAAATATCTAATGTACTGTACTCACTTATCTATTTTCACCCCACACTGTAAATAAAACATGTGATTGGAGTTTCTTCCATTTGTTTTGATTTTCTGTTTATATTTCGTTGTTATTTCGTCACCATGGCAACGCATAAGACCCATGTTAATTTTTTCAAATTTTTAAACTCATTTTTCGTGCTTATCTTTGAGCCTATTTAAATTTATAAAGGGATTCTGCACACCTAGAGGAAAATAGCTTTCTAACGGTATGCGTAGATTTTACCTACGATGCACACGAGCTGAGAAAAAAGGTTTTAAAGAAACATGCTTGCCTATTAATATATAGATAGATATTTCTGTTACTAACACAATGACCTTCAAAATACGCTTTTGATTATTCTTCTAGCGTTTACCGTTTCTTAGAAAAAGTTAGTTTACATAATTAACAACAAAAACTTTTTGGGCGAAAGGAAAGTTCTGAAAAGCTTCAAATCTGTTTATAATATATGTATCTACATCGTATTAAAGTTTCATAAAGTTCCGATGTTTGGTTTACAATCTACGAATTTTGAAAGTGACAAGATAGTTTCTGAAACTCTTTTATACAACTCTCCTTTATATTCTGACTGTCATATTAATTTTTATGAAAGAGCTAAAAAATGTTAATTTTTAGATGAATACAAAGAATAAAACGAAGAACATTTATATGTAATCCGTGTTTTTCTAATTAGTTTAGTAACTTTTCTGTATAGCTCCAAATTTGAGTATCTAAACTGTATTACAAGTGACGTTGTAGGCAGAATCTGCCCTCATGACGCCACGCGGCGCGGCGGGTAGCCCCTATATTACAATTTAAATTACAACCAAACTACACCAGCTAAAAATTTAAAAAAATATGACCCAAAAGGTTCAACTCTTTAGCTACAAAATCCACCGTTTTTTTAACTTACTTGACCAAAAAATAAAAAAAGTAGCAACCGACGAACTTTTTCATGTCATATTTTAAAACTCATTTAAAAGTACCGACTTCATTTGAAGATTTAAAATAGAAAATACTAACTTTTAAGCTTTTAATTAAAACCAATAGTGTCATAGACTTATTGACTTCACTCATACGAAGTTTCAACCATATAACTTCAGTCTAAGTAGGCTAAATGTCGAGTTATTTTGAAGCGGAACATTGAGTTTTGGTGCCGTTTTCATCGACATCTAGCGCTTCTATCCTACAGTAAGATGGCGGACCTGGCTTCAACTGCTTTAATGTTAGTTAGATAGGCGTGCTCCATCTATTGGTCTTATGTGATCGTTGCATCTGACGACCTCTGTACAACAGTGATGAGTTGGGCCTAGAAACTTCGTGGAGGCTGACTCCTTTTATATCCAATGTCGATTCAGCTATCAGAAAATATTTTTTAACCTTAAGCGTTATTTTGCCGCATCCAGCAGCAGAGGCTGCTGCAGAGGCTGGTTGTACAAAATACATGAAAACAGTAGTAAAATGTTCTTCAGCATCAAAGGTTTGTGGGTATCACTTTAGGCTAAAGTAATAGAAGTATTTAATCCTCTAACGTAGCATTCAGTTTTATGAAACCAAAGTGAAACATTTTTGGTCCAAAATTGGGGGAAATTTCACTTGGATTGGTAAGATTTGTGAAGCCTCTGTTGTACTAAGAGTTGGGGGAAATTCTTGATTATTCATTATCCAATTGAATATATTACAATAGCAAGTATTATAAGAGGTCACCAAATAAGGCCAGAGCCATAACTAAAACACATTAAAGTAGTTAAAAGAAGATAACTTATGATAAATCATTTAAACACTTTTGTATTTAAATCAGAACAACAACAAATATATTAAAACATCAACAAGAAGTCAGCTGATCACATGACACATTGTATTTTATAACTGCAGTAAAGACAGTAAGCAGCAGATAACTGGTAAAACCATAGCTACAATGCATTTTATGTTTTTATGAAACGTGATTCTCAGATATCTTACAGCCATCGCTGTACACGGATAAGATTATCTTCTCCACAGCATAATCTACATGTGACTTCATTGTCGTACCCAGTTGGAGGTGGGCGCGGCGGTTTGTTGGCACCGCAGCTGATGAACGGTGTACTCGTACGACCCCTGGACACACTTGGGCCACAGCTATGCATTGCCAATTAGACCTTAGGTCTTAGCCAAAATTCCAACGTCTTTGTTAGTTTGTTTCTCTATGACCTAAGCATGTAAATCTAAAACTGAAATGTTAATTAAAATTATGTAGAGGCTCTTTAATCTGTGCTTGAATTATTGTTGAAAGGCATGCAAATTAACAAATTCTGCAAATTCGGTTAAGCCAACGAAAAGTGTTTAAATTTTCAGATGTATATTTAATTAAAAAATATATCTTTATATTAATTGTGCAATTGAGTATGCTTATGACCAAAGTTTATGAATGGTGACGTCAAACACTACATTTATTTATAAGAGATGATGAGATTGTATATTTTCCAAATCTACAAATTTTGTGAAGAAAACTATTTTAAACCATTGTCTTCATATAGCAGTCACATATTGGAAACAGACTAAAAATCTCCCATTACATTTATTTTGATTAGTATAAAGTTTGTTTGAATGTATGCTATAGGTTTTGTAACCATATTAATTTGTGGGCTCAACGACTTAGTGATATTATTTGATGGGTCTGAATCACTAAGCACCATACTTAATATACAAGTTATCAGATATGAATTTTAGTAGACACCTTATTCTCATTAATGTAATTGTGGAATGATGTATGTACGGACCAAGAGTTGCAAGTCTGGTTGGAGATGCTGTCAATGGTGGCACGAGAAAATTTAATCAATTCCATCCAGTGAATAATTTATCGTATAAAATTATTTCCATTGTGTCAGTGAATTTTGTTTCCTCGTACTTTTAAATAATCGAAAAATTAATCCATACAGGTTCTCTAGTCTTTACATTTGGCCTATATTATACCTTGTGTGAAGAAGGTGGAGTTTTGTAGCTGCAGCCGGAACCGGTAGGACCTCTACTATGATTAATGGCACATTCATATTTCTTGAATCAACACATCTGGCAATCTCATCTACAGTGTTGCCAAAGGTCAAACTCTAATTTGCCAATAATTAGTCATCCAAAAGGAACAACATCCCTATGGTTTAGGATTGTACTTGTTCAGATTTGACTTTTTTGAGATAACAGCTTTTAAAACTTCAAAAGGTTTGAAAATGCGTAACATAAGTAAAAAGATAGCAAAAGGGTTGAAACTAGAGTTTTTTGAAAGCTCATTTAGCAACTAAAGTGTTATCAAAATTTGAACCCTCCACGAAATTCCACCTCTTTACAGTGAAAAGAAGTTCAACGGTCTATTTTTTGTACGTTTTTGAACACCCTGTAAAAAGGGATGAAGATAATTTAAATCATTTTCCACTAAAATACTCAGGACTAAAGGACCTTCAGAATGAGGTATAACACGACCCCCTTTACATTTGAAAATTTCCCAAAAACCACCCCTACCCCCCAAAATCTGCCCTTTGGGGTGCTTTTTTGTGGTTGAAAATAATTTAGCTGGATTCCTTGGGGTCAAAATAGGGGGTTCCAGTTGCAATTAGGTTTCCATTTGCTTTCAT